GGGGGGTGTGGGCATAGCTAACTTTACACAATGATTCCACAATTTCTCTAATTTATAAACACATTTTTATTTAATAATAATAATAATAAAAGAGCTTTATTAAATGAACTATGATTTATAAGCTGTTTTCTTTATGGGGCCTGATATGGGGGGATTTTTGTCAGCACCCTTTGTTGGTTTAGGCCTGTCATGGATGAATAAATATGACAATAAACCCGCCAATGAGTGGCAGCAAGTCCCTGTTTTAATAAATGATTAATTAAATCATTCAAATCAAACGATTTATTCAAAACGGCTGATTTAATTATAAACAGCAAGTGACCATCTTAATGAATAAATCGTTGAATCATTGGCTCACTTGATTCGTTCAAAAACAGATTAATTCAGGAACAAAACACCACAGTGTTGCTCTGCACTGTTATATAAAATGAACAGCACATTTGCAATTACACACACGTGCTGACATTCAGGAAAGCACTCTTGCTGGTGTAATATAAAAAATAAAAACTCATGCACAGGTATTTTTTTTTCTTTTATAACTTGAATTATAAGGGCATTCTAACTGCATTCTAATAGGCTTCATCACACAGTGAATGCTTTTGGACTGAGAGTCAGTGACACTCTTTGACATCTCTCAGTATCCTGTCTCCGTCCCTCACAGTCACACATACAGTACAATAACATTATGTTAGGGGAATGTCTTTAAACTATAATCAATAAAATATCATACCTAATTTTTGTTTCTAGTTTATCTTACTCATACTTGCTCAGTTAAAAATCCCTTACCTGTCACCACCCATTTTTGAACATACATTCTAAAAAATCCTGGGTTATTTTTTTAACCCAAATGCTGGGTTGAGCCTTTTGGGTCTTTTTTGGGGGGTTATTTTTTCAGTGTTTAGGTAGTTTTTGTGTTACCCAGCTCCTGGGTCAAATGTAACAACCCAGTGTTTGGGTTGTTTTAGTGTTACTCAGATCCAGGGTCAGTCGTAACCCAGCGGTCGAGTTATTTATCGTGGGGATTTTGCGTCTTCACTTCACGAGAGAGCAGTTCTAAGCGCCATCGAATTGATGCATTCTTCGGTAAAATACAGGTTTGTGTACATTTTATTTTATCTATAAAATCGTTACTGTGCTGTATATAGTTCAATTTTATGCAGAGCAACATTCAGGCACACGGTGTGAATCAACTTTAAAGTCTTTTCGCGTGATGGAAAAGCCTGATGCTTTATATTGCTGATATAGTAAAAATGAATAAACCCATTAGCTGGGTTAAATAAACAACCCAATCTGCTGGGTTAAATAAACAACCCAATCTGCTGGGTAAATTTAACCCAAGATGGGTTCTGTCCTATATTTACCCAGCCCTTGGGTTAATAACAACCCAAATTGGGTTGTTTTTAATCCAGTGTTTTTTAGAGTAGACGTGAAAGTGCACTATCTGAACTTAAATTGTTATAAATAATGAACGCTTTGGAATACAGACCTAAGGTTGGACTCTTTTTAAAGAAGAAGTGGAATCATTTCAATTTTATATTTTCAATTTCAAAACATGAAAGTATCAAAAAGTTACAGAAGTGAATTTACTTAAAGAAAATGCAATGTACAATTTTGTTTTATTTTATATAAAATACATATTTATTTTTATAACAGGTTTTACTCTAAAAATGCTATAAAATTAAAGCCTTATATCTAAATAAGTTATGTTCCAAATTTGAAGTTGATATAAAAAAAATGAGGTTCCTGTGAGATTTTATTTATGCCGTTATACCACAAACAGCCACCGGGTGACACCCAAACTCCATTGATTTTTATAATGCATTTTTCTGTCACAAATGTCTAAATTTCTGTCAATATTACTTCTATCACAAGACTTGAGACTCAGACCTTTCCAACTATATGTATTTTGTCAAGATTCTAAAAAATTCTGATTGTAAAATACCGTAATGCATTTTGTAATATGACACTTAACACCGCCCACTTAGGGGGAGGAGACCGCCAAAATATTTTAAAATAACATTTCCATGGTAACGCAATGTCCGATTTCAAAATGTTTTTCACAGGATGAATTTGGAGTTTTTAAGCTTTCAAATGATATCTATTTTAGGGTGATTACTAAAATATATGATAGGGTAAAAAGGCAATAAATTATGTAATGGCTGTGGGCTGGTGACACTTAAGAGGTTAGTTTAAGTAAATAAGCAGTAACTGTAGATTCAGATATGATCACGATTCACCCAGATCATAAAATATTCAGTACAAAATGAAAGAGTCTGATTTTGCTTAAGAAATACTGGTTATTACAGACCAATTTATGCTGACTGATGCACCAACTGAACTTACTTAATGGATATAAAAGGCTGTATCATTCCATGCCAGAGTGCTGAGTTTTGTAACTTGCAAACTGCTGTTTCAATATATGTAATGCTTCAACACATTTAATCATATGGTTGGTGTCTCTTTGATAGCCTACCACAGTTTGTCAAATAGTCCATGCATAGCTTCAAAAACGATTGTACCCATGAAACATTTAGACCATGAAGAAACTGGGGGGCGTCAAATTTACCACAACACAAGTCATATACGTGTGTTTGGTTCATTTGGTGTCAAGTTGCCTACTCGCTTCATTCTCCTTTTGAGACAACACTTCCAACCTGCAGGTAGAAAGGAAGCAAAAACCCAATGCATAATAACATTATATTTATTCCCAGCTGCGAAATCGAATGACCAAATGAGAATTCCGAACGAACTTCCCCAGCGTTCTATTTGGAGCACGCGCCGGCTGACGTAGGTGAACAGCGCGCGCGTCCAACTCCCTTGAGAAAGAAGAGCGTGAACGCGCCTCTATCCTCCTCGCTGCTACAGTGAATGCGGGCATCCAGACGCCTGACTGAGTGCGGCGGTTCTTTACCGAGAGCTCGGATGCCGCTGCATGGAAAAGCTTCTGCCGAAGCCGAAAGGAGGAGAAGGCACATGTATATTCATACGGACGCTCAGGTGTAAGTGATGCTACTGCAAGTTGAAGTCCAGGAAGTAAAACCGCAGCAGATTGGGAATAAACGGATAGATCGGCGTTTCCCGTTGCAGAGCGCACTCAGTGCGTTTGGAATACAGAGACGCAGCGTGGAATTACTGGAGCCCTCAGTTTGTGAACTAGTCAATTCGTTTTCTACCGCATTAAAACAATTTTTATCGCATTTTTCTTATGTCCCTTCTTTGTTTTCCCTTCTGTTTTTCATTTATTTTGTTTGATTAGGTTTGTTGTTTCCACCTTTTATTCCAATGTTATTTAGAGTCTGCCCTTTCCGTTTTTTATTTTTTCATCCTCTGAAAATAGCTCGGATTCGTATTTTGCGAGGGTAGATTGTGGTGAAAGATACTCAAGCTCAACCTGAGTCGTGTCATGGATGGCAAATTGTATTTGCATCTACGGAACAAATCGGGGAATATAGAATAACTCCTGCTGACAGAGAAAAGGTATGCTAGTGCTTCTATTTCTTTTAATATCCATACGATAATGCGTTGCTTCGCAATCTCTGTGCATTCGAATTGTCTAAAAAGAGCAGCGTATTATCATAGACCGACCACTTTGAATCCATTTACTTCATGATCCTTTAAGTTGGAATATGTGAAAGTGTCGTCTGTGAATTGGAACTAAGTCTAATTTTTGTCTTCAGAATCAATTGTGCGCACTGCATTATACTTATGAGCATCATTCAGAACAGAAATGCATTCAGGATCGAGGTATTGTTGCCCTTCCTATTCAAGCCTTAGCCTTGAATTAACTTAGAGACAATGTCTTTTTATAGGCTACCAGCCAGACCACGTTCATGGTGAGCTTGCCTTGAGTGACATGATCAATCAGTAAGTCTCAAAGGAAAAGTATATGTAGAAAACGTTGTGCTGAAGGTTGCGTCTCGTTTCCCCCTACATCTGTAGGTTCTGTCTGGTTTTTCTCGTTATATTGTGTCCATATCGACGTTTAAAGAGCGTCTCTACTGTCACCGCGCTACTGTAATGTTATTTGAAGGTGATACAACTGTGATTTGGCGCCCGCTGTAGTTGCCTTTAACGCCGCAACTTAAAATAGAATTCAGTTTCTATTCTCAATAACCGACACACTGATAATCGTTCAGTCAATAAGCCAATGCAGCTGTCTTTCAATTAACATGCCCGACCAGGCTTTTGCTAATTAATCAAAGCAAGATTTGTCGGTACAGGTCTGCGGCCGTGAAGAAGAGCAGTCGCCCATCTGTTGAACGCGTCTTCACAACTGCTCTTTCAGCGCCGTTTCTTCTGCAGCCACAAATGATAATATATTCTGCGCTAATATGCTGATCGAAATGTACATTTCTCTTCAGGTGCCACTACTTTGAGTAGATTTTACAAGAGTAGACGTCCTTTGATGCAAGTCTGTTATGGAATGAAGCGCACGTGTATTAATCTATTAGTAGGCAACGTGATACTTTGCTGTTCTCCGACACATTAGAACTGAAATAATGCAGCGTGATAAAAAAAAAAAAATGCTATGGAGTTAAAAATAACATGGCAAAGGACTTCTTGTCAAGAGGCCCCGCTCACAAGCTGTGACGTCGATTACGAGCGTTTTTATTTATCCACCTTATTTTTCAGAGCAGATCTATTACCTGTGAATGTGCCAGACATCTATTTAATTAGTAGAAATATGCAAACAATGATCAGAATAACAAAGTTTTGGGTGACAAACAAATTACGCAAATTAATAAAAATGAAATAGTTTGCACCATCAACATAACCTAAAATAGGCTAATTGAAAGCAACTCAAATCGGAAGCCTTGCACATTCAAATTAAAAATGGCAGCACTCGCTCTTACATTAAAAATAAAGTTGATAGTGAAATAGTATGGCATACAGTGATGTTATTTTGGACAACATCTCATTATGTTTATTTTTAATTTTCTGTGCTGAAATATGTTCTATTCTACATTCTATTTTTTATCTTCATATTATAGTCATATCTTTTTATCTGAGAAATCAACATTGGAGTGTGTGATACATTGTTTGCAGCAATCGTGAATGTGTGTGAATACATCAACGCTGACTGTCACATTAAAAATCAGTGGATTCACACAGCTTGATGTGTCTCCTATGCAGCGAAAAATGGTTGTAGATAGGGAAGCTTAACTATAATTGGCTCATAACGCCGTGAGGGGGCCCCCTGCGCTGCGGGGGTGTCCCGTATACGCCTGTGGTAAAAGATGGGAACATTTACCTCAAGGTCAGTGGCCTTCTCACAGCATGTTGTCATGTTACTTTTAGATAAAGGTGGTAAGTTGATGCCATAGTTTTTATAGGTTGTTTGACCTGAATATTTACAAGAACTTCTTTTGAAATATTTTTACGCCTACTCACTCACTTGTCCCCCCCCCCCCTCCAGCCTTTCAAAAGTCTCTAAGGATACCGACACCATTTAAGGGTTAAGCCTGGCTAATTAATGAGAAATAAAACTGGTCTACAGGCTGCTCGGGATAATACCTTTAGCGTGATGTGTGAGAGAGGCATTTATGCTAAGTTGATCAGTGTATGTCTATTTATGCCTGGCATGCAATGCAGTTGGATTCACTGTACTGTACTGAACCTGCAGCTGTGTGATAACAAGGACTGAATTAGGTCTTTCATGCAATGCTAGATGAAAATGAACAGTGTGAACATGTACGGTAATGTTTCCTCTAAGGCAATGGTTCCAAACCAAGGGAGAATCTGCACACTTTCAAGCTGCAAGATGAGTTTTATTTAAAATACTTAAAATAAGTTATATTAAAATGATCCAACTTTACTAAAAAGCTAAAAAAAAAAAAAAACACAAGATCTGAGATGTGTAAATTGAAATCATATTTTCACTTTGGTCGAAATGCACAGCTGAGCTCTCACTCGGACTTTTTTTTTAATGCAGAGGTCTGTACGAGTTTCATTCAGAAGTCATTTTTGCATTCCTTTTAAAGGGAAACAAATGTCAAATCATGATCAGATGCAACTTCTCAGAGAGTGTTTTAGCATAGTTATAGTGTGATGTGCTTTTGCATGCTAGCATTTTAGCATGGTAAAACCCTCTTTGAATTTTTTTTAATACAGAATCCATTTGAGGTGTTATGGATATTATGTTCAGTATAGTCTGTCTGATTCTTCATGGTGTGGAACCCACTTCCGGGTGTCTGTCAGAATCCACTGCAGATGAATGCTTTAATAAATAGTTGCAGTCAAAAAAAAAAAACTGGTGCAGTTAACTAGGTGTTGTACAGAGACAATATTTCTGATTTAACAGTTATGAATTTTTGAATGCTGAGCAAGGGAAATTCCATGAGTCCAAGTGCTGAGATTACATTGAAGTATATCATTCTGCAGCCAGGATGCACATAAGTAGTTTTGTGCCGCTGTGTATTGAACCTTCCTCATGAGGACTTAGGGGGCTTTGTTCAATTCAAGGTTATAGTTATTTGTTGAATGGCCTTATTGAAGGGCTGCACTTACAGTACATTAGCGTCTGAAACATGTCTGATTGGGGGCTGGTGGGCATGCAGACATATTATACAGACAGACAACTGACTGACTTATCAATTATGAAAATATGGAGTTTTGCAAATCCCTAGTTTAATTCCAAAGCTGCCCACTCCTGCAGAGTGGTACACACCGTCCCTTACAATGAATTTCTTCCTTTTTACTTCAAGTCCCATTACTGGCATCTTGCATTTTATGTTTTTATTTATTGTTTTGCCACTGAGCTTAACCAAATTAATTTGTCAAGTGTACATGAAGCTGTTTATTCTTTTCTGCACATTTAATATCAAAAAGATCAGTTGCATATCGGTAACACTTTACAGTAAAGTCTCATTTGTTAACATGAGCTGTGAGCAATATATTTTTACAGAATTTATTAACATTTGTTAATATTAGATAATAAAAAATACAGTTGTTCATTGCTTGTTCATGTTAGCTCACAGTGCATTAACTAATGTTAACAGATACAACTTTTGATTTAAAAAATGAGTTAGTAAATGTAGAAATTAACATTAAGATTAATAAATGCTGTAGAAAACTGTTCATTGCTAGCTCATGTTAACAAACCTTATTGTAATGTGTTACCCATATATTATTTGTTTTAGCCTACTTTTACCCATTTGAAGACTATTTCGGTACCAGTATTGACTAATATATGAACGAAAATGTTTTTAAAACATATTCGTACTAGTGGATATTAGATATTTAATTATGCATGCTCGTTTCCCTTATATTTGCATTTGGATTACCTTTGCCTTCATCTAACCCTCAATTAAAGTTCATTTTTAATAACAGTTTTAAATAGTGCATTTTCATGTAAATCTTTAGCAAATCTCAAAATGAATATCTGTTTTCCATACACCCAGAAATTTAACACTGATGCATTCCCACGTAAGATCCATAATTATTTTATTTTATTTAAAGGGGTCCTATTATGCTCTTTTACAAAGACTTGATATTGTTTTGGGGGTGTACCAGAACAGGCTCTCATACTAGGTTGTTTGAAAAACACATTATTTTTCACATATTTTACTAACTAAAGTTGAAAAAGTGAAAAAGCATAATAGGACCCCTTTAACTTTTTTAATGTATGGCTGCATTTCATGTTAAAATGAAATGCCAAATGTTATTAAATATGTCATCAAAGAACGGGCTTTGAATATTGTCTTTGACAACGTGAGGCCTTTGCTCTAATATATCTGTTACCTTTGAAAAGCAAGAGGGATATTGCTGGCTGTGCGGGAGGTGCGTGATCCTCTAAGAGAGACTGATGCTCCTCACCGTCTCCTGCATGTGAAGGGTGTAGAGAACTGCATATGGACCGTGAGCCAGGCAACAGCTTGGTCCTGCCTGGTTGAGTGGTCCCTGGCTTTTGCATTGTTTTAAAAAAAACACCCCATCCATTTCCGCTTTGGCCCATACGCCAATGTGTTCATGCAGCACCTCACTGAAAATATGGTATATCAGGTTTAGTCAGTGAGATAAAGCATGTTTTAATTCTTGCAAACACTGTCAGCTCACATTCACTGGCTTGGAAAGCCCTGGTGAGCAATACCGCCTGACAAATGCGTTTTAGCCTCTTGTCTGTGCTTCGACAGGCTTTCCTGTCTGCCGTCCTCCAGCACAGCTGCCTTATCTGTTATCAGCTCTCGGCCCTAGAAACGTGATCATTCAGGAAAGCCAAATCTAGTTCGGCTTCCATTGTTCATGTCGTGGCATAATGCTGGAAGTCTGCGTTTTGAGGCACAGATGCTGCGATCAACAGGGTGCCTCTGGCTCCTACCCATCTTCATGTGTCAATATTTGTAGTGGTCCATTTTGTGTGCAGGACCCTCAATTTGTTGAAAATGACTCTAATTGCACGAGTGTTACCAAATTAATTGTTGTTTAAAAAGAAATATCATACATATAGCAGGCAAACTTATTTAAAGGGATAGTGCAAG